CAGACAACCTCTCGTCAATATGCGTTTTTTGCATTGCATTGCTGCAAAAAACGCATAAAAATACAAGCCAGAAAGAGCTGGACCGATTCGTGCAAGAAAAATGAGTGTCAACAAGCGAACAAAATACAATATGGAATGATACCAGGGCAAATTAAAATACGGAAGGCAACCAATGCGGCGAAAAAGACTTGCTTAAACGCAACTAGTAAATTATATGGATAAAAAAAGAGGCTTAGACAATGTGGAGAAGTTGCCAGGCGCATCAATGATGAAAAGAAACAGGACGATGAATTACTAAAGTAAATATGGAAATAAGGCAAATTCTTCCGCTATCGTTCTATTTTTGTCGTTGCTTTGCAGAATCATTTTTAAGAAAAAAAGAGTTTTAAAATGTACCATTGTAAAAATGTCAAATGAAAAAAAAAAAAGCTAATCAAAATCAAAGTAAGTACCATGAGAAAAACCGGCGAAGACGCATAAATTTGTTCAGTGCCATTCGTTAAAAATGCAACTCGAACGCGTACAAATGCATCCAGGCGAGGAGCGTTTATTGAGAAAAAAACACGTTCCGCAAATGCTGCTTTCCAAAGCTGCTGGCTCGCTTCTACCTTCAAATGGTCTCTTTGAAGAGCTCATTATGTTTTCAGAAATAAATCATTCCAACATTCCACCAAAATGGATATTCTTAGAAGTGAAGCTGAGAGCGAACCTCGGCTTGAGAGATGTTGGTGCCAAGAACGGGCACAAGCGGTGGATATCCGCTACGAATCAGATTTAGATTGGCAGCGATCTGTTCAGTGATCGAAGCGAAGCATGGGAATGATCGGGTGTTGAGCATCTGCGCACTCAATGCAACAAATTCCTTCACATCGGCTACTCGATAGGCGCACAGCAACGCACGTGGCAGAACTGCTGCAATTGGCTGGACGAAACCTTCACGGCGGCACTCCCAAAGTATGTGTGACGTTAGCTGAAGTGGACACCTTTACCAATAGAAAAGCTTAGCTTAATTCAAAAAAAAAAAAAAAAAAAAAAAAAAAAAAAA